AAGAAACACAGATGAGTGCTAGAAGTTATTGCTCAAGCAATAATTATGTTAACCATCCACTATAAATTTTCATGTCTGGTACCCTTTAAGAAAATTGTCTTTCTTAAGGCCTACTGAAGTTCATATTAGACTCCCATTGACTTCAGACACGGGAATTGGAACATTCATCTTACATTAACAGTAGTCTGTGCCAAAATCACTGTGATATAATTTAGCTGTGGTGTTACTTTGTTTATTTTGGTGAAATATGAAGCATAAATTTGGCTCAGTTAGTTCAAATCATCTGACAAGCTGGCATCTTTATGTCATATGCTACATCTTTTAAATTTTCTTTTGAAGATTGGTTTCAAGTAAGGTTTTCGTAATTGTCAGCTCGCAATGTCTGTTTATATCTTCTTCCTTGTGCTGTATCTAGAGATGTGTGCTAAATTAATGGGAAAGCAATTAGCCAAACTCTGGATTCTGTGCGTGACTAACGCTTCTAACTGTGAACATATTATAGCTGTCTGTCTGGTCTTCACAGCTTCTGTTTGAGTTTTAGAGGAAACTGGAGATAAAGATGCTAAATCTCTAAATGGTGTAGAAACTCCTGATGTTACAAAGGTTGCATTCATTTGAGACACTGAGGTTTACATTTACCTGATGATACATCAGGAAGGGTTGTAATGTCACATTATAGGGTCTAATCTAACTGTAGTTTTGTACTAGCATATTTGCTTTCAAGCAAGAGTAAATGTGAGCCTAACCTTATTCTGGAATACAAATGTTTTCTGATATATTTTTATATACAGCTCTAGTTTTTGTACCAGTCTAAATGTGCCTATACTGCAGACACCCTTTCAGTTGCATTTGTTCAAAACCTGTGTGTATACAAACACTGATGGGAAATCTGAGCTTTGGAATTTGCTTTCTGATGCAGATTAAGTTTGTAAGCTTCCCCTGGAGAGTATGAATGGGAATCAGGATTTGAGGAAGGTCATTTATCACTTACAAATGACAGTCATCAAGTCTTAAAAAGTAAGCTCTGCTGCGTGACTATGCCAATCTCAGTTGCCACAAGGGAGAGTGCAGGATAGAAGGAAAGCCAGGGTATTTCTTTTGGCAAGCAGCACGCACTTAGGTTTAAGCTGATTATCAAACTGTACCCATAGGCTGTGGTTTCACGTTACAGCTAAGCCAGTCTGGAAGGTTGCTGCTGCGGAAAGGGGTGATCCTGCTCTCTTCTTCCTGCTCCCACAGTCGTGTTCCCGTCATTTCCTTTGTGCCAGCTCTGCGCATTGGACCCATGGCTGAGCCAGTTCAGCTCAGCCACCCAGTTGAGAACTACTCACTGCTGGATTAATGAGTTTAATTGATTTAGTGAAAGACCTGATGAGCATTAGAGCTGGCATAAAGGACGGGGTGGAGACCACACAGTAATATACCCACAGAGGGTATAGTTCAGACTCGTTTTCACAGTTTAAACCAGTCTACATCCTCACTGTCATGTTTGAGCCAGTTCTGGTATATGCTCAGCCATGTGATGAGCGTGATCAGGGACCTGGTTTGGCTGAAAATTGGTTTGACTCGCTCCCCTCCCACCCCCCAGCTTTTTGCTGTGTCACTTCTCTGATCCCGTCACTGTACAGCCTCAAAGGCTCTTGTAGCGTGGTGGGGTTAAAAGCCACGTGTGGTCAGGGTGAGGTGGGAGTGCTGAGTTACCCTTTCAGATGACGGCCAGTACTTAAGTTGATTTAAAAGGATCATAACTGCAGGCTTAATAAAGTCTTCATGTTCTATATTGCTTATACCCCAGGCATATTTAAAATTTTTTTAAAATTTCATGCTGGAGGAAGATTTTCTTCCTTTTTAACTGTTCAGGAATTCATTTGGTTGACAAGGGGTAGCAAAAAATATAAATATATAGAATGATGGCAATGTTTTCTGTTGAGAAATAGAGGCTTGGGGGGGTAGCAGTCTCTTGTTCTCAGGGAAACTATTAATTGCTGTAGAAACCTTATTCCAAATGATGGGAACTGCATCCTGTTCCTTATGAAATAAAGATGTTAATAATTTTTTATTATTTGTCATACTGTATTTATCACCACAGTGTCTTCATAAATACATCTGGCAACCATATTTTCCAGGCCATTTATTAAGATTTATATCCTTTAAGTGGTTACTCTAAGGCACCATGTTTTCATGCCTGCAACCTGCTTTTCTGACAACTAACACTTTTAAATTACTATTCCTTGAAAGTAAGTCTTCACCTGTTCCCTTTCTGAATTTATTCTCTGCCTACTGATTTGGGTGGCCAAATTACGTAGGAAGGGATAGGAAACCACAAAGGGAAAGAAATCTGGTGTTAATTCCCTTTTGTGGTGCTTGTTCACATTCATAACTCTTGGGTTATGTATGAATTACTGCTGTTTCTGAAGCTTTTCTGGTACCTGTAAAAGTACAGTAGTGCTGCCTGGTAGCTGCACATGTGGAAGGGAGTTTGCATGCTATTATTGATTATGTCAGCTTTTTAAAATGTCCACAAAATGCTGATTTGCTTTGTGAGGCAGTCTCCTCATACCTTAGCAATGGTAAACTAGAGAAGCCATTGCCTACATAAATTTCACAAACAGTGACTTCTTTTTGTTTTTCTCTGCATCATTTTCTTGGTCTAGCTATGTGCTTATCTCTCCAATTGAATATTTTGCTTTTGTTACCTTCCTTTGAATTTTTAAGTGTGTTAGGTTATCATTAATTTGTTCTTTCTGCTCGGAAATTGGGAAGCAGAGTATTTGGGCTGGTCTGTAGCCTGAATACTCTCAAAGCTACACCTCAATTATTGTCCTTACAAAAAATGGCAAGACAGCCTGAGATCTTAGACTAGTGGTATCTGGGGGGATTTTTGAATTAATGGAATGTTTTTTTTTTTATATATTAAATTACTTCATCAAAGAGAACAATGCAGTAGGGTTGTTTCGATTTTTTTTTTTTTTTTTTTTTTTTCCCCCTGAGAGCTGAGTTATACTTTATTCACTTTTTTTCCCCCAAAAGAGGAGTGCCTTTAATAAATCTGTAGGCGAAGTGATAAGTATATTATAAGGAGTCAAAGGGATTTTTTTCCCTCCCACTGAAAATGAGTCAGCAGTTAAATTATCTTGAAAGAAAATCAGTACTGATTTTGTTGTCTGGGTTTAGCAAATGTTTACATTTTAAGAAAACGTTTATACTAGTGGTGTTCAGAGGGATAAATTGTGTGAGTGGTCTCCTGTATAGTGAAGTGCGTGTCAGAATCTCTCCCTAAATGTCTGTCAATCTGAAATATTCTTATTTGGTCAGAACAGCAGACTTCTGATGGTTTAGTAAAACAGACAATATTCTCTCTTTAAATTTTGTTTTTCTTGCAAGGCAAGATACTCTGAAAATCTCACTGTCAAATGTAATTGCCACATGAAGTAGTTTAATCCTGTTCTGGATTTTGTGGTTATATCATACAAATGATGAGATGTGGTAGTGTGGAAAAGCTGGGCAGAGCATTCCTGTGTAAATAAGAAGACTCATTTGTACTTTCAGTGTTGCTTTGATCGAGAAGAATTAAGTGACTTGATAGTTTTTGGGGACTTGCTTTAAAATACTGTGGAAGGGAAATAGGTGGCTCTGCTGGAGGTCTTGTTACAGGCTGAAGGAGCCTCCTCTGTGTGTCTGCTTAAAATACCTTATGTTGAATGTTTCGCTTACCAGCTAACGAGGTAGGACAGACTGATGAAATAAACGGAGTGGTGAAAGTGTGCGTGAATGCTGACATGTTTGACAGATGCATTGTTTAAGCTTAGATGTATTAAATACTCAAAAAGCTTTGCCAAGGGGATCAAGTCAGGCTGTGGCTGCAGGGTATGTGGATCTACCTAGGCTAGCTTTGAGCTGATAGTGGTGTAATCGTAGCAGCAATGACACTCAGCGCAAGCTGTGGACCCTTTTAGAGAAATTTGACCAATGCTTGGATACTTAACCTTCACTGAGTTTTGTGCTGCCATCACCATGCTCTTGTTTGCTCAAGCAGTGACTAGTTTGAGTAAATGTATGCAGCCTGTAGAGTAAACAGACCCTTCATATGCCCAAGAAGTCATTGAGCTTTTTTCCTGCAGTCTTTAAAAAATTGATCCTCTTGTAAAGAAAAATTGTTAAAGCCAGGAGAATAAGATACAAGCACTGAGAGAGCAGGGAAAATGCTGATGATTGTGGTGAGATTGGTAACTCAGTTCTCTCCATTTTGTGTCACTATAGATGAATTCAGAGTGTCTGTGTTCACCAGACTGTAGCTTGCCGTTGACTTTAGAGATACTCTGATATGCATTCAAGCTTACCAAGACTGCGTTTCTGAGAAGATTCATTGATGGTAGCAGCAGGATGCAGCTAAAATGCTTTCTATAGGATACCATCTATTGTGATGTCCGATTGACTTTTCCAACACTGTGATTCATCCACTGCTGCCTTATTTAAGTTATCACCGAATTGATGAGGCAGAAAGCATGGTTGATTCTCTTGAAAAAATGCTAACAAATAGTATTTTCCTGAAATTTTATGAGAGATTGTGCTCCCCATCCACCAAAACATCAATGGCAGAAATGAAATAGAGTAAAAACTAATGATGGCAAAACCCCTTACGCATTGAGTTGAAATTTCTGTGGAGAAAATTAAGCGCCTGCACAAAACTGAGAGGTCTGGTGGCAATACTAGTTAAATGGCGAAGGAAAGAACCAGCTACTGTAATAAGGGCTGTAGGAAAAGCCAGGCTATGATAATGGAGGTAGGGGTTGTCGTTGGGAAGAAATGGTGCTTTTAGCAAAAGAAATATAAATTGCTGGAAAAAAAATTCAAGCCCACTTCTGTCAACATGGACATATGTGATTAACTGCATTCCTGTGATACTTGATGTGAGTGAACACTGTTCCATTGCAGTCTAATTTAAATAATGTTTAACTAAGCATAAATTTAAAACTAGACTTACGTTAGCTGGGGCCAGAATGACTAAATGTGTAGAAAAGGTGAGGGGCATTACTCATCACATGAAGTGGGCTTATCAAAACTGGGAGGAAGTCAGGTGTGATTCCCCTTTGCTGAGTGCGAATGGAGTGTCAGGGGATGGAGATTTGGACCCCAGAACAGCAACTGCCTGGTTTTGTGTCCAGAAAGAAGACGAGGAAGGCAATAACAAAGCAAGGAAGTACTTAACATGTTGTGAGCACCATGAAAAGAGAGAAGAAGTGGGAAGCGGAAGTGGAAAAAATGGGGAAGGAGAAACAGTATGTTGGCCTTTTTCCTTGTAATTCTGCATGAAGATGTTTGCTGTATAAACAGCTTTGAGGAAGATTTCAGTAAAAATGGTTGCACATCAAAGATACAGGACAATACGTTGTCTTACTAACAAGTACTAAGTGACATTTCTGGTAATCAGTGTTTGACCTGAACCTGGAAATGCTCTCATGTTCATTTGCCTGCTGTACATTTCTGCATCAATTTAAAACAGCAGCACCAGATGTAGCTTCAGTGCCGATCGTGAACAATGCTTCATAGTGGATAGCAGCTACCTCAGCTGGGGGAAGCAGGAGCAAGATCTTTAGAGATGATGCACCTGTGAAATGCAAGCAACTCATGTAAAATGCCATGAAGATGGTCATAGAAACAGCTATGCAAGTTTTTGCAATATCATGTCAAACATTACTTAGTTATTATTGTGTATAGCTATTCAACAGTGCGGGATTAATTAAGCCGTTTAAAAGACCCTTGTTTTCTCTTCCCTTTGTTTTTGTTCTCTTCTTGATTGTATTATAGAAGAGAATCTTCCCATTTATTCAAACGCATTCATTTCTTTAGATTTTAATTATTTTAATTCAGTGGTAGCTTTTCTTTTTTTCTGAGATCCTTAATGTAGCATGTCACACAGGGTTTAACATAAAAAAGGAAAATAAAGAGTAGGAATAGGGACTGCTGAGACTGCAAGTTATAGTGGAAAGGTGTGTTTCAGTCATTCAACTTCAATGAAAAAGCAGTATTACTTTCAAACTTTAAAAGTATATTACAAACTTCCACTTGATGTTAATATAATATTTATAATATGGTTAGATGTTTGTAACATGCAGTGCTCAGCTGAATATTTTTGATCCTGCAGTTATTGATTTACTGCAGTAAATAAAAAGATACTGTAACAGTACTGCATCTTATGATGCAGCAGGGCTCAATTCTGCATCGTAAGTGATATCTGCATTTTTCAGCAACACCAAGTTCTTATGTATATATTATTAAATTTGTACTGGATTGTTTGCTTGTGAATGTTTAGTCAATAGAGAACAAATTGTGGATGTCAAATAATCTTAACTGTGCAGTAAACTAGAAATTGTTGAATGAATGTAACAACATCTCTGAAAGCCGCGCTGCTCAAAATGGGGAACTGCCTAAGAGTTACTTCTGCAGAACTACTTACTGGTGGTAATATTGGCAAGCAACAGCATGTCTTCCATTGCACAGCTGCAGGTTAGTCTCTTTTTCTTCTTTTTTTTTTTGCCTTTTTTTTTTTTTTTTTTTGCTTTCTGTAGCTTAGTTATCGTCACTGCAGGCAGTGAAGTACTCTGGAAAGGAGAAGTGTGACAGTCCAGAGGGATTTGTTGCCACTCTGAAAACAAAGGTGGCAAGTGAGAAGTCTGGTGCAATTCTCTGTCCTCAAATAAAACTAGAAAAGTGTATGCTGACCAGTAAGCTTTAGCCATTTGTCCAAGGAAATAAAATGCTTGATACTTCCAAATGCAAGTTTGGGAAAAGCAGATAGTTCTTTTCTTCCTTTTTTTTCTTCAGTTTGGTCTGCTGCTGCTGAATATCTGTGTATAAGGGCAAATTTTGTTCCTTGAAAATAACGCAACCTCCATTTCTTAAGTCGGGAATTGTTTCTGTTCAGCATGCTTATTAAAAGAACTATAATCTATTTCTTTACTTCTGGGTGCCTGTTATAGAACAACTGTATTGGAGTATATTTTAAGAGTGTGGGAGTTTTTGAGTTTGTTGGGGTTTTTTTGTTTGGGTTTGGTTGTTTTGGTTTGGTTTGGTTTTTTTAATCAAATCCTGTTTGAAGAAAATAAGTTTTTTTGCAGTCTAAATACATGTCCTGGTGGCAGACTTTTAGATTAAAAATTATATAGTAACATAATTGTGGCTCCAATACGATGTCATGATAGATGAAAATTAGTACTCTTAGGAAATAAGCATGAAGAAAAATGGGCAGCCATATATTTTTATTTTGGCATACTTCTGTCTCAAGCAGAAGATACAGGAGAAGAAAGAGGTGGAAAATGACAGAAGTATGACAGAAGTGATTTTTTTTTTTTTTTTTTTTGTCTCCAGAAAGTTTATTGTATGTATAGGCTTTTTTTCAGATTTCAGCTATGTAGGACTGAACTCTTGATGTCATGTTTGGCACTTTAAATATCAAGTAGAAAGCTTTGTGGCATTAATTTTATAAATAGACCTAGTACTCAAAAATAGTCTTACTGATAATCAGCTTTGTCTGTCTTAGTTCTGGACTGGTCACTACATGTTTGTGTAACTGGAAACTTTGTCATACATAAAATTTGGGAGCTGATCTGTGAAACAGCATTTAAGTAACTAGTCAATAAGAAACATGTTTTTGTTCCTGTGTTATCCTAGAATTGAAATTTTGCTGAGTAGTGGGTTAAGAGAAAGTTGTATCTTTTTCACTAGAGTTTCTCTTTGTGTACTCCAATACTCCTGTAAATTGATGACTCCACTCTGAAATGAAATTTGCTCTCCTTCTATTGAGTTCTGACTGGTTAAGCCACATAGTAGCATACACTGTACTTTCCTATAATGTTAGTGTTAAACAGGGAAATGGTGGTCCCTGCGTCTGACCTAAAGTGTCTCTGCAAAATCTGTGTTGTTCGTTAGACACAAAGCTAGTAATTTAGTTGGCATGTCTAACTGTGTCATCGGTAGTCTTACTCTGGGGAAAAAAGGCTAATAAATTGTTGGCCAAAGGGACTTCTTGTTTGTTTGTTTTTCAGTTTGGCATATCAATTTTAATTTAGATTCTTTTCAATGCTATTACAGGAGTTAAGAAATTGGGTCTTTAGGGTTTTTGTTTGTTTCTTGATGAGTTAGGGCCTAATTAGGGAATTAGGTCTTCCACACTACTGCTGTTACGAAATACAGCGTGTCCTGTGCCTGTTCAGATCTCATGTGTAACACAAGATCCTGTTTCAGTCGGGCGTAGCTCCACGAGAGCTGACCATTTATCGGGCTTTGTTGACTATATCCTTCATCGGTGTCGTTAAACATTGATAGCTGCATTTCTGTGCATGGAAATGGGAGCGTAGGGACAGGGACTCTGGCAAGTTAGTGAATACTGTCATTGCAAAATGTATGTTTTGGTTTTGGGATTTTTTTTTTTTTTTTGGTCAGTTTTAAGTTGATAGCCTATGATGGTAAATACAGTTTTCTTTTTCAGCTCTGTTACAGACCTGGGGTGAGTTGGACCTAAATGCAGAGTAAGAAATCAGCTGTAAATGACAAAGGCCTAATTGAAAATCTATGAATGAATCCATTTCCTGCCATTGACTTCAGTGCACTTCCAGGCGGACTTTAGCCCACGGTTACCTGCATCTGGCAATCTGAATTTGGGTTCACGCTTTCATTTTGGAAAGTGGAGGGTCCGTATGGCCATTGTACAAAAATCATACCCCCAGAGAAGCAAATAATTTTGGTGAAAATTTAATCATTCATACTTAGTAGAAAGAAGATAGTTGTCATGATGTCTTAGAAAATAAACTTTCCTTTGCTTTTACTTTTTATGCACATGCGTTTCAGGGGGTTGATGTATTACATAGCTCACTGTCCTCAAGTTTATGTGCCTTGTATCACTGCAATGTGGATAGTGGTAGTGCGGACAAACTCCTCTCCTGTGTGAGAATGGCAGGTCTGTTCTGAGCCACGTACATAGTACAGGTGGTAAAAACACTTTAAACTTAGTATCTAAATAAAAAGAATTATGTTAATACACAGTTGCAGTGATGCGTGACCTGCAGTTGAGCTCTTAAACTGTTCAGTTTTTTGAATGCCATGGCCATTGTACAAATCATACCCCCAGAGAAGCAAATAATTTTGGTGAAAATTTAATCATTCATACTTAGTAGAAAGAAGATAGTTGTCATGATGTCTTAGAAAATAAACTTTTCCTTTGCTTTTACTTTTTATGCACATGCGTTTCAGGGGGTTGATGTATTACATAGCTCACTGTCCTCAAGTTTATGTGCCTTGTATCACTGCAATGTGGATAGTGGTAGTGCGGACAAACTCCTCTCCTGTGTGAGAATGGCAGGTCTGTTCTGAGCCACGTACATAGTACAGGTGGTAAAAACACTTTAAACTTAGTATCTAAATAAAAAGAATTATGTTAATACACAGTTGCAGTGATGCGTGACCTGCAGTTGAGCTCTTAAACTGTTCAGTTTTTTGAATGCCTACAGCTGGTCCTGACAGCGGCCAGAGCTTTGTTGTGGTGGGGGTTGATTATTTATTTATTACTTTTTTTTAATACATAACTGCTAGGCTGTAGAGAAGGGGAATACTGTAAATGTAAATATTTGAAGTTTAAATTGCATTTCCTGCTTGGTGACTCTGCCGTCCCTCTTTCCGTTTGGGCGGGAGGATTTAAAAAGGATGAGTCTGTTGTTTCCTCAGCTTAAAGCACTGGAAGTTTCTGCTCTTGCGGTGTCCTCTCTTCCTTCCATCCTCAGCAGAAGCAACTCCCACCTTCGGAAGAAATACAACTCAGTTGCTTTGCAGAACAGCTTTCTCATGGGAGCAGTAGCACAGCTGCTGCTGTCTCTCTGCAAAAGAAAGATGGAAAGGGAAACAAGTAAACAAGGAGTGCTTGAGTCTTCTTTTTTGGGCATGGGGGGAGGTTTACTGATGTCTGCAGTTGATTTGTTAACTTTCAGAATTAGTAATTGTAGAATTAAACAATTTTTTGTATGGTCTTCAAAACACTGTTTTGAAGGTGAGCAATGTCCAGATTCCTCCTTGGTTTGTTTTGAATGTATGCGTGTGGCGTTGGGCCTCCTGGCCGGTGACTGCAGATGCAGAGCTGCCTGCCTGACCTGTAGGGTTTAGCGACCTGCCCCTAACCACAGCATATGGCTCACTTAGGCTTTAGTGCTTCTAATAGTTTCCTTTCAAGAGCTGAAACTGCGAGATCAAAACCACCTCCGTCAAGGCAAGCATCGCTTTTCATTCCTCAGAGGTGCGAAGCGGGCGTTGCAGCAGCGGGCTGGCGGGGGCCCTGGTCTGGGCCAGCAAGCGGGCTGCTCTCCCCCCGGGCTGCGGGAAGCATCTTTGCTGGCAGCATCACCCTCCCTCAGAAGTCAGCGGGGAGTGGAAACTTAGGCAAACCCTTTCCCTTTGGAAGGGTTTGCAAGAGATCAAAGGCAACTCTTTAGCCTTGGGAAGCGTTTTTGCTACCAGGGCCTGGCTCCATATGTGCTGTTTCTTTCCTGGTTTTGATCCAGCCACTTGCTTAACTCACTTGAAGCTCTGCTCTCAGCGTGTTGTCTTTGCTACAGGTTCCTTTCATTTTCTGGAGAATGCACTCACTCCTGTGCAGTTGGCTTTGCACTATCCAGTTGCTGGTCAGAAAAACTGGTGTGTTGATATTTAGGGTGATAAAAAAACAAAATGAGGATTTCAATAAAAAACCAACATTAAAATTTCTTCAGTCCTGTATCTACATATACCTTTTATCTCATATTGATTTGAAAAGATTAGGTTCTGTGTTTTGTAACACCATAAGCCCTCATAACCAGCAATCAGTAATAATATACCTGTGCTTTTAAAAGATCCTTTTGTTTGTGTCTGCTCTTACTCTAAGTCTTCTGGTACTAAAAATAAATATAACTCACCCAATCTCAATGGCATTGACCATCCAGTGTTTTACCACTGTAAACTCTAGGTCTGATTCTGGCTGTTTGTAAGTCTAAATGTTTGATGCTGAAGTCATGTAGCCTTTGTACTATGTTTTCACTACTTGATTTCGGTGGGAAGCATGTTGGGTGTGATATGTAAACACTGCTGATGGATCAATATTTTATATATCTAGTCTGTGCTATATAGAGGCTATAACTGAAAAGAAGTGATTTCAGCTTTGAATGACAGAGTTGGAACATGTCCATGAAATGCATGTGCAGAACAGATAGAGAATTGTGTAGAGGAACATTATTTGCTCAGTGCATTGCAGCATGGAGGTGCTACAAGGGATTTTGTTCTAGTTCATCTGTCTTTTGTTTCTATTTCACATTTGAATTCTGAGGTGTGCAATGTGAAACTGTCTGGCACCTAAACCAGACCTATACTTCTTGAGATGGAAAGAAGTTAATAGCGCACATGAAGATTAATATTATAGGGTCAGTGGTTGTGGGGGGTCTTTATAGCATCATACAGTGGTATTGTATGTTTTTTTTCAATAACAACCGCATTGTAACAATATTTAGGTGTCATGTGGACTTCCTACTGTTCCCTCTTTTGTTGTACCACCAGATCAACTGCTAATGTGGTAAATACTGGAAAATAGTGTGATGTATGTGCTGCCTTGAGGATTTTTACCTGCTGGAAATAAGGAGAGTTGTATCTTATGATCAGTTATGTCTCCATAGATTGCAGTCATCTTCTGGCAAACTTCTCTGTGTACAGTCTGAGAAACCTTCTTTTGGTGAACATGCAGAACTGAAGACAGGAAAGATAATGGCATCTAATTTTTAGCTTATGGGGTTTTCTGTGCTTTGTTCTTTCATAGTTGTTAGCTGAGCAGCTGTCACTTTGTTTTCTTTGACCTCGGCCTTTGAGAACTTGGTGCTTTGTTGTTCAGCCTTCACACACTGTTCCTGTGCCTGGTGACTAAATTCCCAGTGTTTTGGAAAGAAGCACCAATAGAAATAATTCTGGCACTGGTGTTTTTTCATTTCTTCCTTTATTGTATATACAAAATTATGGTTTTCTTAGGGCGATTGATTGTTTTCTACAGAATTCCCTGCCACATGCACCTCTAGTGCTGTGAAGATGTCTGTTACAATTTGGTGCTACAGTCTAAGAAAAGTATCTTCCTTTGTAGCTTAAAGGACTCTGACTAGTGTCCTGATGTGTCATGGGGCAACAGCTGAGCTAGTGCATAAAGATACTTAAAAAAAAAATAAGCCCCACATCTCACAGTTACAGAATGGGATGCCGTAACTGTTAGTGATGTACCTTATCTTCTGTTTTATTTTTAGTTGCTCTTCTACAACGGGTAGCAGAATTGGAAAAGGTCAATGCAGAATTTCTGCGCACAAAGCAGCAACTTGAGCAAGAATTTAATCAAAAGAGAGCAAAATTTAAGGAGTTATACTTGGCTAAGGAAGGTATGTTCTCAATTCTCTGAATTATTCTAAAGTTTAATTAAACTTTAGCTTCAAATAATCCCTGTATGAAGAATAACAATTGTAATGCCAACTGCTACTCCCCATTTGCCTATGCACACTACATACTTTCTTTTTGTGGGGTTTTTTTTTTTTGGGGGGG